CTAAAGGAAATCTAAACATAATATTTTAACATTACACGTTATACGTAAGCTCTGTTGTGGAAAGCGGGATGCTAGTTGTAACAGAAAATAACAAGCATTTTTTACTCTGATAAGTTGACTCCAAATACAGTAGAACCTCGATAACTCAAACCTCGGTAACTTAAAAACCTCTATAACTTCAAAAAATAATATGTTCCCTTCCCATCAGAGCCAAAAAACCTCCATAACTTAAAATACGCAACCTCTGTAACTTAAATAAGTAATCTCTGAATTGGCCCTCAGTAACTTAAAGAAATGTTTCCACAACCTCTATAACATAAAATTGTTTGTCAATGAGTCATTTTGAAAAAGTGTGCAAATCAAAAGTTTTCGGTTTTAACAACTGTAAGATCATTTATAGAGCAGTGTAGCAACATAAAAGATAATGTATTCTCTTCTCAATTTGTCATTGAAAATCAAATCGATTTAGAAACTGTGAATTGTTTAAAACAAAAGAAAATCACAGACTTTTTTAAGTAGACTAAACCTTTAATTGTTGTTAAATAAATAGGATTATTTAAATTTCTGTATTTTATTGAACTAACCCTTCTGACGTATTCGAGTAAAAATAGGAATAAGGGTACATACATACACATGTACATACCTACCTCTATATTAACCTATCCCTAACATAGACCCTTGATAACTTAAAACCTCTATAACTTAAAATATTTTGTGTTTCCCTTGGACTTTAACTTATCGAGTTTCTACTGTATATTTATTTATAGCAGTTATAAAATTAATGAGATGGACCTATGATCTCCCCCATATTTGTGTTTCGAAGGCTCAGGTACACGGATATATTTGGAAATTATTGAGTTGGATCAGGGTGGTTGACGGAAACTAATGAATTATATTTCTGGATAATTTCATCAACTTTGTTAAGCCAGCAGAGCAAGAACCAGTCATAATTTACACGTGAATATCACTGTGGTAAAAAGAAATCAAGCGAAATTCTTAAAAGTAATATCTAAGTATATAAAATTCCTAATTCTCAATATGCTGAACAAACCTTTAACAAATAGAAAACTAGTTTTCAATTCCAAGTATTCCTTAGTTGCCCCAATCACGGAGTAGGTAATAGTCACTTATTTCTATTCTTTACTATTTCTTATCAATGTTTACAAGCATCTGTCACAGATTTGTCCAAACTTCATATAATGTTAATAGTACCTCATTCGAACAGTACACCTGCATTTCCTTAGTGCCGAACAAGGAAGCTTCCATAGCCAAGAAACATAAATCATTTTCAACTAGTCCGCCGCACCCCTATAACACAAAATAGGTCACTAAACTGTAATTATAAGTATAAATTTTATTTGAATAATTTATTAAATCATCTGTGCTTACTCGTAAAAAGATGCTTCTTGAATTCCTTTATACACGGGTAGTATATTATATATCTAATAATTATTTCTACCTTGATTTCATCTTGATACTACGAAAAGTGTGTGTTCCGATTTCACAATGTCTATTGCTCATAGATATTAAACATTTGTTTTTCCTATTATTGTTTATTATTATAATTTAAGCATTACAAACAATTTGTAAAACAACAAACCTTGGCCATTTAAATGTGACACAGAGCCAGTTCTTCTCGTCAGTTCTGTTGACTTGAGAACTGGCCGTTATATAAATTTAGAAACAATAATGGTTTTATTAACATTCATATGTACACTACATAACCTACATGATTAAATGATATTTTAATTAGATTTGCTAAATACTTCTTCTAATATGTCTGAGTTCGTATTCAAGAGTTCTCAAAATCAATTATCGATAGCGAATCAGTTGTCTCTTGTTACCCCTATGTCTGTGTTCAACTATTAAACAAAGGGCCGATTCTGGACCATCATTTGCAAGCACTATCGGCTACTATAGTGCTTACAAATAGTAAGTACTAAGTGCTTATAAATTTCGTTAAAATTGTCTAAGAATAATATAGCTATCGTACTGATATAATACGTGTTGGATTTATTCATTCCACTGTATGCTCGCAGCCATTCCCGCTTAAAGTGAACATATTTGCTCCTTTGAGCTTTAAGGGCCTATTAAGGAATTATTTTAATCGAGTAAAAAACACTGTTCATGTTTCCATCGTTTGTCCGTCTTTGTTTGTTGTGTCCATCGTTAAATTTAACTTGTGCTCACCATCTTGCCGTCAACTTAACGTCAGTATCGGCAATCGGTGCTCAATGTCGGGCAGAGTATGTCGGCGAGTGTAGGCCTGTCACCGGATAGCCTTTGAGAAGGCTATTACTAAGGCTATGTCTAGATTTGAACTATCGGACGCCTATTTATTTTCGAGCCGCTCTTGGTTATGAGGGCTTGGTTACGACGTGTAGATTAAAAATTAGGTACAAATTAAATAGTTAAATGAAATCGCGGGCTTAATTAAAATAACAATATATTTATGTTTATTATAGTTACATAATGAAGCAAGATGAACAATAGAGATGTTTTTAATACTAATAATATTACTATAGCAAAAGATATGACATGTAACAATATATCTAGCATGTTGTCTCGGAGCCAATTAGTAGATGTGGTTAGCAATAAGTAGCTTGTAAATCGCTAAGTGCCCGGTTTCAATGTACTTATTTTATTTTAGAATTACGAATAGTACCGTACAATTATATATAAAAGTGTATTTTAGAGTATCTATGCAATAATCTTCCAGGCATAGTTATTACCTACCACTATTCTGATACAGATAAATTAGTAAATAAATAATTATTAAAATTGTAATGTAACAGTTTTTTTCTTGTATATGAACAACTGTGGTACATAATAATTACTGCCCAGCTCGATATTTTTGTAGATACGATTTTGCATAAACTATAATCTAGAATAGGTAGTGCGCTGACCTGGAGGTGCATTGGCGTCCCTTGAGCATAACACGAGCCTACCAAGGCTTCATTTCATGATAACTCGTCTCAGTTTGGAAACATGTATAGCCTATATGGGTAGTTCCACAAAATTATAGTAATGCCTTGTAAACGCCTTAATACCAGACGTCGAGGCAATAAGGATATCTATTAATTTAAAAAAAGTTGAATAAAATGCTACGATTGAACAATTACTGTTGCAATAAAACAAATATTGACATAATGATGTATTTATTGAGCGAATGTTTATACAATTACCAGCTATGTATAAGGTACTTATTAAAATTACTACGAGATTACATTTGCACTATTTACATTATACACTACTGAACACTAATCATATGAGTATTTCTTATTATATTACTCTAATAGTTATATAGTTCTTGTATTTTATAATTAATTACTAACAAGTGCGAAGTCCAATTGCTATATAATCTTTTGTAAAAATGTTTAAGAACTAAATGAAGTAATAATATAATATGTGTTTTAAAGTCGTTTAAAATAGCAGATAGAAGGATAATATTATTTTAAACATTGTTTTAGTATTTTAATTACCTACTATTTCTAAATATTTATCTAACTACGTAAAAATTATGTTAGGTGAATTACATCAAAATGTGAATATTGTTTCATATTTGTACAATATTTACATATTCATTTATCATACGTGTGCCGGAACTCGGAAGTGAATCTAACGTTTCGTAATAGTTAAATGGAAGGAACAAGTGTCCCAAAAGAAATTATTTAGGAAAATACATCGACATATTTAGTAATTCATTACATCGGTTCTATGTTAATTTTTATAAATATCTTGTATTTAAATTAACGTTATTTTTAACTTACTTAACATTTATACTTGTTCATTGGTTTTATGAAAAAAGTAAAATAACTAAATATTTAGTCCGAGAATTCAATTTTTATTGAAATTCAATAAAACCCCCTTGCGCCAGTATTTCACTAATTTGAAAAGTCACAATTTTATGAAAAGCGTATCTAATATTTCTTGTTATGTTTAGTTGAGTGTAGGCCAAAACGATTGACATAGGTTTTATACGGGTGACTTCAATGTTTGTAATATCACGAAACCTATAATAATTACGTATACATAAGGTATTTATTTTTACATAACCAATACGTTTGACGCAGTTGATATTGTGACGTAACATTAAATATGAATAATTAAACATATTAGGCAAACACATAACATAAATATTGTGTAAATTTTAATTTGTGGAAAAAAACACTGTCCCATTTAGCATGAGATTTATTTTGGATAAGTCAATTGAACTCTACAAATAAACACGTTTTTTCATATATCCCTGCTAGGGTATTTTTTTTATATTTATCAAATTACATGAAATACAATTTTATGACAAACTCTATACAAAAGACTTATTTGGTTAATAAACGTGTGTCGTGTTATATGGATTTTATTACCGCGTATGAAAGCACGATTTGCTATTAAAAGATTCTTAGAATACTCGTCTATGAAACTTTAGAATTAACTGAATTTTCAGAGTAAAGAGATGGTTGTGGCGGTTTACTGCAGAATAACAATTGCAAACTCGTTATAATTTGTAAGTATCGCTTTCTAAACAATTAAGTCCAATCATAATACAGAAATGACAATTATTAATTTAATAATAACGTATACTTAGTTAAATCTTAATCAATAAATTCTACTATAATTATTTTAATTCTGTAGTTATATTTACAATTGTTAATTTAATACCTATATCACCTAAGTTTTTATTTTTTATCTTAATAACTTCATTTATACAATGTAAGAAAGAAATCTTACATAACTACTGTTGTAGCAAAAAAAATATCAGTAATTTAATAATTCGTCAAAAGCATCTTTTTTACTTTCAAAATAATTAAATACGAAGTAATATTATTTCCTTAAAAGGATATTAAAGATACTATTGATATATTACAACTTTAATGAACGTGTCTCCTAAGCTATTTATTATTTTGCTAGAAGAACGAATTACCTCATTTCAAAGTGACAATTTTTTAGTATTTACAGTGAATATCATAAGACAGCTATAGCACTGTCCAATTTTGCAAACCCTAATCGGAGAAGCCTTCATTATTCGTATTATCAGAGGTAGGTGAAGTACCAGGAGATGGCACCTGCAGCTGCCTGCCATACATCAGCTCAGAAGGTGGTAGAAACGAAGACATATATTCTGGAGGTGGTCTTATCACCGTAGGTAAATATCCTGTTCCGCTGTAGGGAGGAGTAAGGAATCTTCTAGAAGGCGAGAACTTAAAGCTGTGATTAGAGAGCGGAGAGAACGCAGACTTGGACTGGTAGTTCATGTAAGGTGAATCTGGAGTCATGTAGGAGGATTCTGGGCCGTTAACCATAGTTTCCATAGCGGCCACAACGTCCCCTTTACATCTGGCGAGGATGACTTCTATTTCCTGACACAAAGAAAACACAGAATAAACTTTAGTAATAACAAAAACGGCTGTGCACTAATGGACTTTTTTTCTATGTGCGCTTTTAACATTTGCTCGAACGTTGAAGGAGTTTTCCTTCTTAATCGTGAGGAAACCGACATGTCAGGCACTGGAGGCTGATCACCTACTTGCCTACTAAATCTAATTTAAAAATGATCATGAAACAGATTCAGAAATCTGAGGCCAAGACCTAAAGAGGTTGTAGCGCCACTGATAATTTTTTTATTTTGGTAGCTCAAATGTCATTGCTGATTGACAAAAGGTCACACACAAATGTAGGTATATGACTCAAATATTTCTCACACAATAATAACAGAAATTTTTATTTGATTTAATTTTTATAATACTTGTTTTTATGATAAGTTATTATTTTACACCGCCTTACGTCCTCACCTGTCTGCTCCGCCTCGGAAATACTTTAATGAGGACATCAACGGGTGATTTTTGGAAGGGTGTGGTGTCCTCCAGAGACTCTGGCGTGTGACCCTCCTGTTTACCACGTCTGTACTTGAAGTTGTTGTCCCATTTATCGTCGTCCTCTTTCTTTACCTATGCACATTTAAATAATGAGCTTATTTTTAATTCGATCGCGTATTAATTCGTTGAAAAATGCTATAAATGACCCATAAAGATCGTCAAGTAATCATTATTTAACTTATTCAAAAATGAAAAATAATTAATGAAATAGTTTCAGAAATATATCATACTTAAAAATTACATAACTACACACAATTAATAATTAAAAAGACCAACCTCATCCTGCCTTTCTTTGAGCGACAGATTTTCTGGCGTCAGAGAAGGTTCCGAATGCTCCAATTCTTCCTCCACGTTCAATTCATGGTCTGACGGAGATCGTGGAGGGGGCGAGTCTAGAGGGGAAGTCCTTATCGGGGTCTTGGAATCCTGGGTCTCGGGTGGTGATGGACTGGAGCATACCTCGGTGATTCGGGCGCGTTTTTGAACTAAGGAAAAAGATATACATTTTGTTTATTTATAATGGTTTCTTTTTGTTACACTTATCTGTGGCGGAATAAAAGCAATGTTTTGCAGATTTTGAGAATTAAGTAGGTACTTGCATTTCAAGTCAAGTTATTTGTTTGTTGATATGAGTTCAAAATAAATATCACGCTATATCGCTTTAAAAAGACCCAAATAATATAAAATCAACAGTCGCGTGAACAAACCACTTTGAAACACTTTCCGTGTATCGTTAAAAAGGTACATTGCGTTAAAAATACAGTCGTGGACAAATTATGTGCCGAGGTACGGAGGTTCAAATATTTGCGCTTTAAGTTTCTGTTATTTATTTTTAAGTGTTTCTTTTGAATTTTTCATTTTGTATTTCTCTCTTTATACCTAAACAGATATATTATATTATTATCATATATTATCGTATACGCTACTATAAGAATTTATCATGGTTTAAGGCCAAGTAAAATCCACGAATGACAATGACACTAAAGAAAACGTTGTGAATTTTCAAATACTTAGCTTACATAAAAACGTAAATGAAAAACATTACGCGTGTATCGCGATAACAATGCATGCCCACTTTGAGCTCGTGGGAGTAATGCAGCAATATTAAATTACAATTATCAAAAGCAAAGCGGTTGTTTTTCAGCAGGTATATTTATAATGTCAAGTACAATAGAAACATTTGACGTTGTGCATTGTGTTTCGAGCAATTAGACGCGGGCTCGTTTTCAGTGACGTGTGCGAATTTAATGGTCGAACTTATTGTTTTTTTGAGACTCGAGTGCTGAGGGAACTCGACTCGGGGGAAACACGATTCGATTACATTTATCGTGCGACTAGTTCAATACAATATGTGCGATTCGATGTCGAGTGAAAAGCGGATTTTTTGTTTCTTATTTTTAACGAAAATGTTTTCGATACGGCTTTTGGGGTTTTATTTGTTTTGAGTGTTCCGTTCGGTTTCGAGTGTTTAACGTTGGGAATAGAAAATGCAGGCGAATATCCGTTTTTTTTTTGTTAGTTTTTAGTGGAATTTTATATACCTACCCGACCAGAACAGCTGATCGCATATGATATATGATGGATAATATATTTATTTAACTTTGAATCATTGTTACTAATGTAGGTGTGTGGCATCTATTAATAGGGTAAAAGTCATTTCAGATACGAGCCGTTTATTTTTTTCAACTCTATAAAATACTTACGTAATAAATCTTGTCTATTTAGATAATCAGAGACAGAAAACACAAATAAATCAATTATAAACATAGATTAAATCAACTTACAAAACCAAAAAGTACAAAGTAAAGGACGTACGGACAAAGGAGCCAAACAAAAAATAATAAAACCCTCCCTCGAGCACATACTGAATTTCATTAAAATAATACACTATTATGAATTCAATACAAACACTTATACTCTGGCCTTTTCGGTCCTCATTACACGTGTGAGCGGGATAGAAATATCGAATCGTATGTGTGTAAGTGAATAAGAACATTTGTATAGATGAATTGTATTTGATAGGACATCTGCTTGTATTATGTACATTTGTTATTCATATAATTGTGTATATTAAATATGTGGGTGTTTTTGTTGAAACACAAAGTAAGCCATAGTATTTTTAATGCTTTTTATTCTTTTGATTAAATGTTTTTTTATTCCAAAGGAACCTAGACCCCTTCTTTAAATTAGATTATGATTCAAATACAACATTTATGCTTTTTATTTGCCTCAAAACGATTCGTCAAACATTACCGCAACAAGAAAAGCATTAAATTATACAACCATATATATATATTGCACGTTGATTTGTCTTCTGTCGCCTTTCCGAGCTAGAGTTTTAAAATTATCAAATGAGATTATTACAGCGTGTGTCGGGTAGACTCTAGATTTATTTAATACGCTTTCTCCTGTGATGTGTTACTAATCCATGCAATAAAAAGCTACACGCAGAAACCATACCTCAAGGCAGAGCGAGCACAGAGAGAGAGAGAGTGGTTGTTTGCATTGCGCGACACAGTAATGCGTCGGCGATAAATCAAGCGCACAATGCTCTGGCGGCCGGCCACGGTACTGTCGCGGTGTATTGTGCTCGGATTTACTGACGTCTGCGACCGACGGCCGACGTGTCGCTTCAATACAATTGTACAGACGCTTGCGGCCGACTGTACATGCATATTCAATGTTCCCACTTCCCGACAATCCTTTACCGAGCCAAAACAACATCGCCGAGGATTGGCTACTATTTTCTCTGTTTAATAATACTCTTTAATATCCAAATAAAAGCCTTTCGTACACAAAGCGTTGAACAAAAATAAAAAAGCTACGGTAATTAGCCAAGTCCATGGAGAAATAATAACGTAATTAACTTTTATTTATTATTGAGGGGAGCGGCTCGGCCACCGCTCAAAGCTTTATCTGTTGACGCTAATTGTGGCTGAAGGGATAACTTTGCATTTTACAATTTATTTATTTATTTACTTTTCTTATTTCTTATTTTTACAGTAACTTAATACTAATACAATAGAAAACTAAACATAATATAAACATAACAAGTAAAAACTTAAAAACCTAAACCATTTTAAGACTAATTATAAATAATGAAATTCTTGTGAATTCAGCCAGTGTGCAACTAAATATATCCGTCTCACAAGCAATAGTGTTTAGGGTGCGCAAAACACGCGGAAATCGTGCTTCTCTAAGTTCGTACGCGCCTAAGGCAGTGCCAGCAATTGCGACCGCTTACCCCGCCGAGTGTGGTTATTTGGCACACGCAGCCCCAGTCTCTCCAATATTTCCGCATTATATATTTTACCTCTAAGGACCTTAAAAAAATATAATGTGATAGTAAGGTCCCTCCTTACCTCTAACTTCTTGTATCCTACCATACCCAAGACAAACAAAGTTGGATACATTACTGGGTAAAATGGGTACAAAGTTTTTATTTTTAATAAAGCGGCATTAACTTAATCGTTGACTTATGTGTTCCATATTTTTTTTTAATTCATCTAGTTTTTTGTTTTATATTATGTAAATGTTCAAACGTTGTAATTATATTATAAGCATCATAATTGCTACGACGAGCTACGGCACACATCAGCTACGCCGGATGAGCTACGGTTGATATAGGCGTAGCAATAACAATTCATTATTCTATTCAAACTTTTTTATTTATTTCTTGTTGAATTTTACTTTTCAATACAATTATAATTCCATTACTAGGCATCAAACCACAAATCCCAAAGATAAATATTTGTATACAAGTCCAAGTGGCACTCATAATCTAATGATTGATACACCGTACACACTCATAAAAACTCAAGTGGAGAAAAACTCTATAGAATTACGAAGGGCAAATTCAACAAGTTATAAAACCTCCATTGTACTGACCGACGATTATTGAAACCGAGGAAATTAAAAATAACCCCGTGTCTTGTTAGAGCAAAAAATCGTTTGTCGAAGAAATTTTAACTTTATTATGAGAGTGATAGGATGGCTAATGTTATGTAAAAAACTGTAACTTTATAAAAAAACTGTTTTTCGAATTTATGTCGTATTGAAAATGAATACGTTTGAGTTTTTATTGCGCTCGATTTAAGTGCTCTTCGGCATCGGGTTAGGGTGGTGCGTGGGCCATTAAATTTTCACTTTTACACTAAACTGTTGTTAGTTATCTCGCCTCAATTATTCTGTATTGATTACTTTAATTTAAAAAAAAATCAGTGGTGCTACAACCTCTTTAGGCCTTGGCCTCAGATTTCTGAATCTGTTTCATGAAAATTTTAAAATCTAATAGGCAAGTAGGTGATCAGCCTCCAGTGCCTAACACACGCCGGCGACTTTTTGGGTCTAAGACATGTAATTGGTGCACAGCCGGGGATCGAACCTACGACCTCAGGTATGCGAGTCGCACGCTGAAGCCACTAGGCCAACACTGCTCTACCATATTACTTTAATATTTTGCCAAAAACTAGTAACTACTCTCTCAGTTTCTTGTTCTTGTGATTAACTTAGAATCTTTCCATTGAGGTCGACATATGGCTGGCATTTCCTTTCATTAGCATGTTATTCGTCCCGGTTATCCCTGTTCGCCCTCAAGGTAATTCGGCGCTCAGTGCGTTTGATGTGTGCCGTGTGATGGCCCCTACACGCGATACTGAACTATTGTGTCTCTGATCAATTAGACATCTCTCCATAGAGTCGAATAATCACCAGTATTAGTGTATTGTCACTGTTTAATTGAGTCTGATTTCGTCCTCATCTAACAATATCATATATAATTAATTATAGTATTACAATTTACAACTATTCTTAATGTTAATCTTGTCTATATATAAAAATAAATTGGTGTTCGTTAGTCTCGCTAAAACTCGATAAAGGCTGGACTGATTTGGCTACTTTTGGTCTTGAATTATTTGTGGAAGGCCAGAGAAGGTTTAAAAGGTTTGAATTAATATGAAAATGCTCGAAATTGAATAAAAACAACAATTTTGCTTTTCCTTTGATGTGTTCTGTCGTTCAGAAATCAAATTAAAATAATAGTTTAAAAATTAAAACTAATTAGAACTTTTATATATTTCTTTCTCAGGACTTAGTTTCTTATTTATCTAAGTTTATTTTATACAAAAGTTTAGGTCCTAAAATGCTGAGATGAATAAATAACAATTGTTGTCGAAGAAAACAAAACATTTAATCAAACCTTGTAAGTATTCGTGCGTTTGTAACATGGCGTCAGGTAACATTTAATGAAAAAATAAAACGAAGAAAAGCAAATAAAAACAGCGGAAGCCGCGAGATCGTGTTACAGCTAAATCAATTTTTCTGCCTGTATCGTTTACACTAAAGGGCGGGGATGTTAGACTAACTGGGACCCCCTGTAGCACACATTTCCTCTACATTTTTTAAATCCATAAATGAGATAAATCGCGGTTTTATTCCTAATTGCATTCCCCTTTCCCGTAAGACAATGGCTCCAGTACAATTAAAT